CAGTGAGGTCACTTTCCACATGCTGACAGTGGGGGAGTGCAGTGAGGTCACTTTCCACATGCTGACAGTGGGGTACACGAGGTTCAACTGCTCGTGTGTGAGCAGTTCCGAGAGGTTATTAACATTCTGATCAACAACCGCAAAGTGTTGGTATGTTTGACTCAGGACCCTACTCCCTGGAATTCATCCCAGGAAACAAAACTCAAGAGTGGAAAGCATGCATCACCCTGGTGTGGCGTGCGTCACCCTGGTGTGGCGTGCGTTGTAGTTTGTAACTCCTAAGTATGACCACCGAAGGATCCCTGAACACGCTTCCCCAAAAGCATTCTTGGAAATTCTGACCTGCTGTGTGCGGGGCCACTCAGATCCTTTGGCCTGAGCCGTCTCGGGGAACTCTGGTCACACATGTCCTTATGTCCCTTCAGACCTCCCAGTCACTAGTGAATGTCGTGTTTCTAACCAGTAAAGACTAGTACACAGCTGATACAGCCTTGCTTCAGAAATAGAGGGACGTATGTACAATTGTGTTGTTGTTAATTACAGCTAGGCTGCACATAGGCATTGGATGGAGTCACAGGGAAGAAGAGCAGGGCATCTGTGTTAATAAGGGATTGTTCCTTCCCTACTCTTAAAAGGAAAACTTGGATTTGTTTTGAATTTTTCCAGGCATGTTACTACCAGATTCAGCGTGAGAAGCTTAACTAGGGGACCTGACAGCTTAAGAACTGGATTATCTGCTTCGGAGGCTGCAGCACCATCTGGCATCGTCTGATGGCGGCAAAAGGAACGGTGTTGAAATTGGAATGGACTGTGTGTTGTTTTGGTTGTCATTTCTGAGCCTTACTAATAATTAGAGCCCTGAGCTCAGGGTGGAATACCTACTGTATAGTTCAAATGGAGAATGGAAAAGGAAATAGGAATCCGCTTAGACAGTCTTTGCTGTGCTAAGATCCATACACCTACTTAGAAAAGGAAGCCGGTTACCTCTTTCCTGTAGTGAAAGGTGTCAGCTCCGTGGAATTGCAGGAAAATTTCCCAAGAAAGCTGCTTATGTGAAAGAAGTTGCTGACTGTTTTTAAGTTCCTGGTTTGTCCACATCCATTCGCAGTTAACCCCACATCCCTGGGCAAGGAGTAGGTTGTACTTGAGACTGAAGTAGCCGTACCTTGCCTTCCTAGGTCCCTTCCAGTCACTTGAGCAGCATGCTGCTTTGCTGGGGGAAGAAGAGGAATTTTTAAATTGCAGTTTTAATCTTTTATAAGCTCCTCCACCAGGGTATTTGTGGTGGGAGAGGTTCCATGAGGTGACTACGGCATCCTGGTCCAGACATGGAATACATCCAAATAGGAACTTCTGCCTCCTGATTGAAAGGACGTAGGAATACACTGGAATTCAGACCCTGATGCTGAGCTGCTACAGAGCCTCGCTGGTCCAGGCAGCTGCGTTCCCAGGAGGCCAGCACAGGCTTTGTGGAGCCGGAAGACTGGGAAATGTGGAAGGAAGGAAGCAGGGGGCTGCAGCCTGTGGCCTTCCCTCTACCTCACACTGAACTCAGAAGGGAAGAAAGGAAAGACACACCGGGCTGTTCCCACCTCAGAAGTATTGTGACACCACACTTCCAGGGTCGGCTTCCTGACAAACCCCCTGTAGGTCGTAGCTGTTTGGTTACACAGGTGCTCTTCCCGTCTCATCTGCTGTACCCCTGGGGAGCCGTGTCCTGACTCATGTGAAATGACTCGGCAGGCATTAATTACTTTTGAAAAGGATCATGATTTCCGAGCTACTTTATAATCAAGACAAGTGTTTGTTAAAATACTGTTTTGGAATGTTGGCTGTAATGTAACAGCAGTTTTCATAATAAAAGGCATTCATCTCCATGAAGTTGTTCTCTGACTGTGGACGAAACGACATAGGACAGACTAGAAGTGTAAAGAGTGCTCAGCTCAGTATTTCTTTGTCCACCTTGGAATAAATAATGCATGCCTCTGACCTCAGGACACCCTGGGGTTTTAGCTCACTTAACTGCAGCCCATTTTGATAATCCAAGGACAAGAGTCTTAAAGTCTGTTTCCTTGACTAAGACATTTGGTGGTGGTTCACTTTGTTCGTCTTTAGGGAAGGGAAGGTTGGAGCAGTCTCCAAGGAAGTTCCACCTTCCCACTCACTGCCCTCTGCCAGAATGAGCCTGCACCCTATGGGAGGGGACCAGGGCTCACTCCCTTCTGGGGATTTCCCACTTCAAATATTTTTGACTTTGTGGACCAACACTCAAATGCCACATTTGGCTAGTAAAGATAAAGTAATTAAACAAATAGCTCCTTGAGACAGAGAGATGGGATAATAGTGGAAATGGACGAAGACTCAGATAATGGAACCAGACAAATTCTCAAATGCCAGCACGCCATCTCCTCTCTGGTCACACATTGCAGTTCATCCTATTTCAGTCTTCAGTGGAGCTGTCTTAACACTACTGAGTCCTCATTCTATATGCTTTTTGAGTTGCTTCTTTAAAATGATACATTTTCAGGTTGTGTGTGGAAAATCCTAAATCTCCAGGCCACCAAGGGTGACTAGAAATGCCCAGCACCCACACAACTGATAAAGAGATCCCGATGGATGCTCACAGCAGCCCTCACAGGCAAGTGTCCATCCCAGCTCTCCCCGTTTTCCAGCCGTGAAGAGCTGTGGTTTGCTCTGCCCCTGAGCTGGGACTCCAACCCAGAGCTTCCCTCCTCTCCGCTCCTCTCTCCTGCCTGTGACAGATTAAGACTTCAGAAACTGAAGTTTAAAGGAAAACCCTGGTGGGGTGGTGGCACACATTTGTGATCGCAGCCCTTGGGAAATGGAGGTGAAGGCATGAGAATGAGGAAGTCAGAATTGTCTTCGGCGACACACACGCAGTCTGAGGCCACCTGGGCTCCATGAGACCCTGTCTCAAAAAATAATTAATAAATTTTAATAAAAATGTATTTAATAAAATAAAATAAAAACTAAAGAGTAGAGAAGAAAATCTGGTGGGATATCTGCTGTCCTGAAATAGTCAACAACAATATTGGCGACTGTAGTGGAGTGTGGTAGCAGTGTGAGAGGAAACTTGGTGAGGTGGGGGATAATGCAAATGAGATGCTTCCACCGAGGACCGGAAGGATTGGCGAGGGCCGAGGGCCGGCTTACAGGGAGGGAGTCAGTGGTTGGGCTGCAAGGTCAGGATTAAACCCCAGCATGGGCAGGGACTTTAGCCGGAGCCTCCAGGTGACTTTGGCAGCTGACAGCCGCCAGGAGTTCCTGCTTGCTCTTCTCTTGACAAGTGACAGCTACGTGTGTCCATCCAGGCAGGTAAGAGACTGCTCGCAATCCCGCATTTCCTGTAGGTGCCTCCCACAGCTGAACAGACTCTTGGGTGGTCTATTTCACAGTGGTTGACACCTCAGGTCACCTATAAAACGTTATGATTTTGAGAGGCCCATCTCTTTAACTGGAACAGTGAGTTATCACAGACTTCAAGTGAAACTGAGTGTTTATGGTCCCCATCTTCTTCCCTGGGGGCCTTTGATGCAGGGAAGCCAGCAGGCCGTTTCTCATGGTTACACATGTGCTTTGCTCGGGATTTCCATATTGAAAGATACTTTGGAAAACATGCATAATGGGTAGGAGGTCAGAATTTTAAAGCAGTTAGTGTGTCTGTAAAGCAGAAGGAAATGCTGCCTTAAAACATTTTCATTACATTTGTGTGTGTGTGTGTGTGTGTGTGTGTGTGTGTGTGTGTGTGTGTGCGCTCACATACACGTTTGTGGGGGGCCCCCGCTTGTAGAGGTCAGAACAACTTTTGGGAAACAGTTCTACTGTGTGGATTCAAGGTCATCAGGCTTGGCAGCAAATGCCTTCCCCTGCTGAGCCATCTCAAAGGCCAAATCTGACTTAAGGTAATGTTCAAGTTCCAGGTATTCATAATGTTCACGTGCTTGATAAAACAGCTTTTAGTGGCTTTTTTATACTCCCTGCCTCTTTACCCTATAAATTACATGTGGTAATATATTGTGTACCCTAGTAAACTTGCCTGGGGATCAGAGGACAGAGCCAGCCACTACATTAGACATAGAGGTCAGGCACTTGAGACCTCATGCCTTTGCTTGGGAAGCACACACGCCTTTAATCCCAAGAAGAGATGTCTGGGCAGAGAAAAGTATATAAGGCGTGAGGAAACAGGAACTCACTCTCTTTAGGCTGAGGATTTTGTAGAGGTAAGAACTAGTGGCTGGCTGTTCTGCTTCTCTGATCTTTCAGCTTCCACTCTGATATCTGGCTCTGGAGGGGTTTTTTGTTTGTTTGTTTGTTTGTTTGTTTGTTTGTTTGTTAAAAGATCATCTAAGATTCAAACAACAATTACACCTGTCTAGAATCCTCGATTCTGGGGAAACTCAAACCAAAGCACTTAGACACATGAGGTTAGTTTCCCATTCCACATAATGTCCTACCAATAACAAAAAGGACAGGTTAAAGAAAGATAGCAGGGCCGGGTTTGGAGCTCAGTTTGGCAGAGTGCTTGCCTAGTGTATGTGAAGTCTAGGGTTCAGCCCCCAGCACCGCATGAGCCAGATGTGGTCACACACACAGCACTCGGGAGGTGGAGGCAGGAGGATCATTTGTTTATCCTTGGCTACATAGCGAGTTTGAGGTCAGCCTGGGCTATATGAGACACTGCTTCAAAACAAAAGAAACCAACCAACAACAGCAACAAAAACCAAAACAACAACAAGAAAAACCGAAATAGCTGATCATAAGGCGTGTATTTCAATGTGTGGATGTGGACATCACCTTAAACACAGTTGAAACTACACAAAACCCAGAAAGGATGTAGCAACCTGGAATGCAGATACAGATACAATCACTGCAAAGTGTTGTAGTGATTTCCTAAGTCACAAGCAGGATTACCGTTGGCGAAATGATTTTCTGATTGGGTGGACTATTTGGTCAGATTTAATGTGCAATGAATTAAATTAATTCTCCAATCGTGGTGGTAGCATTTGCCCAAATTCTGTGTGTTTCAAAATTGCCAATTATTTTGTGTTTATGAAGGAAATTGTGTTCTAAGTTCGCATCATTCTAGGCTTGGTTTGGGTTGGTTTCTCCAGGGACACGAGAGTCCAATGAGACACTTGCAGGTTCTGCAGGCGCAGTGAATTGTTTTAGTTAAGGTTTCTATTGCTGTGAAGAGACATCATGACCATGGCAACTCTTACGAATGAAAACATTTAATTATGGTGGCTCACAGTTCAGAGGTTTAGTCCATTATCATCATGGCGGGGAGCATGGCAGCATGCAGGCAGACATGGTGCTGGAGAGGAGCTGAGAGTTCTATATCTTGCAGGCAACCGGAGGTGGTCTGTAACACTGAGAGACACTTAAGCAAAAGAGATGTCAAAGCCCGCCCCCACAGTGACACACTTCCTCCAACAAGGCCACACTTCCTAACAGTGCCACTCCCTCTGGGGGCCGTTTCCTTTCAAACCACTACAGTGATTGTTTATCATGTAGAACTACTTCTAAAACATTCCTGAAGACCCCATCTCCCCTTTGCCCTTCTTTTCTTAACCCTTTCGTCATCCTGCTGGCTGAAATGTAGAGGTGACGGCTGGAAATCATGCCGCCATCTTGGAGCA